CGGAGGGGCTGTGCTGTCGGGTGAAGCCACCATCCTTCCATCTTCATATCCCTGTTATGATCCTGGCCAATTTCGAAGTACACATTCATAAGAAAGTACAATGCCGTCCAATTGCAAAAAGAAATGACTGAACTTGAGAGGAGAAACGGGGAAAGAAGAAGAAGAAGAAGAAGATGATGTACACTAGCAAAGACCAATGATAATCCCTTTCTCCTTCGGCAACCACTCTCCTCCTCCTTATCTCCTCCCGTCTTTTTTTTTTTTTTTTTTTTTTTTTTGGGACAAATGCTCCAGTCTATTCGTGGGGAGCAACACGTGCTGGGAACCGGGCCCAGCATCCCATATAGGATTATACAAACTATTTGAAATACCAGGGCCATTACCTGGCTTCGGCTAAAAACAATTTGAGAACTATGAAAAAGGTTCTGGAAAATTTAGGAAAAACATGGATAAGTGCTAACCTATTGCTAGGCTACTCAAGCAGCACTTACTAAGTCAAAACGGAAGCCACAGAAGCCCTTTAAATGCTCAGAACCCCTGGAATCCCCAACAAAACATTCTAAAATTCTCTAACACTGTCTTATTCCCTGCCGAGCTTTTCCAGGCCTCATGCCCCCATCCTGCTAGGTTACAGGGCAACACAACTCACCCCAGCTCCGGCCAGTGTTGTACCGACAACAACCCTTGGTTTTCCCTCGGAATGCCCGGCCCAAGGCATACCCAGATCTCTCTACCAGGCCTCACGCTCCTGCTATCAACAGGTTACAGGGCAACCCCCCAGCTCCGGCCAGCGTCGTTCTGGCATCGAAAAACCGCAGATCCATGAATATAGCAGCATTAAAAAAGCCTAAAATGAGCTGCAAGAAGTGCCCAGAATCCTAAGGCATTCTGAAGACTTACCTCATGAAATAGGCTAAAATTCAGAAAAAGTCTGATAAGGCTTGGAAAAATATGAGAGCGGGGGGTCAAAACTGAAACTGCCTACTATCCACAACTCCCCCTCTCAACAGACGAAACGTCGGTCCAGGCTTTCAGTCCTCGTAGCAGAACTCACTTGATCTCATACCCCCTTTTGCTAGGGTAACAGGGCACCACAACCTTCCCTAGTACTGACCAACCTAGTTCTGACGGACAGGAAGTGCCTTCCTCCCTCGACATTTTCCTTAGTGGCAAGCCCCTAACACAGGTTATAGGGTTAATACCCCGGCGCCGGCTACGTCGAACGGTCTGGTTATGCCTTCCACCCTCGTCATAACTCCACAGGCCTCAAGCTCCCCCTAGGTCACATAGCAAAAGCTCCAGCACTGGCCTGTGTCGTCCTAGTATCGTCCTTCTAACCTACTTACCTTAACAAACAACCTTCCTCTGTTGAGAGCCCCCTTACTACCTTCCATCCTCCAGTTTAGCTCCCCCCCCCTTCCCTCCTTTTTTTGAGATACCAGGGCCACAACCTGGCTTCGGCTAAGAACAAACAACTCAGAACCCCCCCAACAATCCTCTTTATCTCACTCCGACAAGACTTACTGGAGCAGAGCCACCATCTCCACTGCTTCTGTACCCTGTTTCCACCCTACGAGCTAGCCCCCTCACAAGTAGGACACCTGATATCCCACCATCTACTTCTCCCACTCACCTGTCTTTTTTAAAAAGGACATGCTCCAGTCTATTCGTGGGGAGGAGCACGTGCTGGGCACCAGGTCCAGCATCCCAATCAAGAACATATTGAAAATCAGGAAATCAGAAGATTGAGAAAACCATATACACGTTTCAGCGCCTACTATTTCCACAGGAAGAGGGGAAAGGAGGGAAAAAACCACCCTCTCTCCCCATGGAAACTCCAACGCCTATTCTAATCTCAATTGCATGTACAAGGCTCACAAGAACCAAAACGGATTACTCCTCTCCCTCAAAAACAAGAAATAAAAATAATAATAATGTTGAATGGCTGAACCGGAATCAATGTTTGAATCCCTCTTCAACTGCAGGTATCACATGAGGTCCACCATAGCCATGGCCACCCTTCCTCCTCCTTCCTCCAAGGCCGAGGCTATGGCGGACTACCAGGGCATTGCTCTGCTGTGCAAAGGACAACACACAAAGCAGCTATGGCTGCTCTTGTTCAGGCCACCATGCCTGACTCCGCCTCAAAGCTTCTTGGTGCAGCTCTACCCCACTGGGGCCTTCCAAATGCAGCGTCCACCAAGGTGATGAAGATGGCATCCACCATAGCCAGGTAAGTACCTCTGGCTCTCCCCCTTCCTAGTCCTTATCTTCCTCCTCATCCTGTCCTTGCTCCTTCCCTAGCAGCGCTGCTCTGATGCTAGTGCTGCTCCAGCCAGCGCTCCAACCAGTGTGTCGCCAAACTTGCACACGGACAATCAGGAGGAGCACTTCGCTCGTCCTGGAGATATTGCGGCCTGCTTTCCTCTTGGCGAGCGACTTCCTAGGCCGCTCGGCCTCCAAGCAACTGGTACCTCCTCCCATTCGGAGGGAAACATCATTGCAGACTCTGATATTGCCCGCACAGACCATAGACTCAGACTGGTTGGACTGGTACCCACCTAGACCTACCCTACAACTAGGCCTCTAAAAATGCCAACTTCGTCTTCTTCTGCTCAGCCTCGAGTACCTGGCACATATACCTCATCCTGGTGTGGTACCGGCCTACCTGTTACTCGAGTGTTTTTTCGCTGCTCCAAGTGTCGCGGGCCTCTTTCCCCACCACTTGAGTGTTTTCCCCGCTGCAACCCCCAATGCCACGGCCACAAGTACCAGCCCTTTGGGCCTTCCGCACGAACAAGTACCCTTGTGGGTCACATACACACTCAAACCGACGAGCACTCAGACAGGCACGCAGACCAGCAAGTACACACACACTTGGACTTATGTGACTCAGCAACAAGTGGGAAACTCAGCAAGGCATACATTCCATTGGCAAAACTCAGAAATCAGCTGTGTGTCTCAGTCCGTGTTTGGCAGGTCCTAACACCCCAATTGACTTCCATATCCGCGACTACGGTGAACTGGTGGATTGTTTCAGCCAGGACCTCCACCCTTGGTGTCGTGGCTTTAAGTAGGACTGTCAAGTCATCGTTGACGAGAGAGGCAACAGGTATGAGGTGGGAGGGATTTATGGGATGTCAATTTGTTCAATTGCCGATCCGTTTAACATCGCAGCAGGACGATGTGGCCAAGCAGAAGGACTCCTTACACGACAGGAAGAATCTGGAGGCCAAGTGCAAGTCCGGAATTATTTACCATCACAGAAGGGCGATGTGGCCAATCAGCAAGACCGTTTACCAACTACCCGACTTCGACCTAGTGATCAACAGATTGGGGGAACAAAAGACAGACTGACTCGTGGCCCTGCGATCACTAATAAGAAGAGAAGAATTTTTTGCAACATCAGAAGACACAAACCACAAGCAAAGCCCAAGCGGGCCATCTCAGTTGGTTTGAGCACGTAAGTGGCACTTAGGAGGTCGTGGGTTTGAGACCCTACGCCATCCTTTCGATTAACCGCGGCCTCCTGGGGTATGCTTCGGGTTCACCAGCGGAGACGGTTGGCTTGGGCCTCCTGGCTGGTTGTGGAAGTGACTTAGGCACTTTCCAGCCGGTGCCAGGTGGTAGGAACTAGGGTACTACTCCCCGCACAAAGTAGAGGTCGTCCTGGAAAGTAGGTGCTGCACGTTAGACCCATAACTTAGGATTCCCTGCTTGGCCTATACTCTATATAAGGTAGTGTGAGGTAAAATGACAATGAGAGAAGAAAATAGTAAAGGCAGTTGTCCCCCGATGAGGAGAAGACAGCCTGCCTTTTTTTTTAAAAAAGGTAAAAAAAAAAAAAAGAAAAGAAACCACAAGCAACGTGCAAGGCTAGGGTTACCGAGGCAGTTCCCTTCAGGATATTGCCGCTGATCCTCCACGAAATCATCAACAAGCTGCTCCATATCGCACTCTAAATCGCCAGCGAGAACTACCCAGCACCTCAACTCACTTCCACAAGTGCCCCATAATTTTGTCCCTTCCCAGCACACCACCTCAACATCAGTCAACGCTTCACCTCAACGCGCGGACCAGCTTCCCCCATGCGGAGGAGGCGATGAGAGCTCACTCCGATTATCTGATACCAAATTGAAATGAGTCCAAGTGTTGTGTATCAAACAATGTCGCAAATCTTAGTCCAAGTTGCACACACACAAAGCCAAGCTCAAGGAGAGATTGAAACCAACTACAGGATATATGGAAATTGGAGTTATCTTGCAAACATCTTCCCCAACCCCTCTTCTCCCATTGACAACTACTATCTCCTCGTGCCTAGGACTCCGCAGAGGTTTGTGTACAACTGTCTGGGCGGCTATGGTACCCAGCGCCTATAGACTATTACAACTCTCAGCCTCTCTTTGTTCGTCTCACCCATCACTTGGTCGCACTTCAGCGCAGCACGTGCTTCCACAGCAAGCACGGATAGAACTGAATGTTGATGGCCACTCTTGCTGCACTTCTGTATGTGTGTCAGTTCAGCTTCCCGGACTTCGGACTTGTAGACCCGGCGGTAGACCCCATAGCCTGCTGGCTTGGATCTCTCGCCGTAAGACGTTTCCATAATGTTCCCTTACCTTCGTGGGACCAGTGGTCACTGACTTACGGTGGACTGGAATGAACTGAACTGAACATGACTGAACTGGACTGGACCCCTTCAACATGACAGGGGCCTAATCACCTGAGGCTAAGCGGACTAGCCTGCACTCAACCCTTTTCCCTACCGGACCCTAAGCTACTGTTCTACACAGGGCCAGATTGGCCAAGTACCGGATCCCTCCTTGGACCCCTGGACGCTGCAGTGCCGACGTACTCAGATTGTAGGTTCCTTGCAAATGTTATGCCATTGCCTTTGTTAATTTACATAGCATGATATTAGCATCGCTATTACGTCACTCCCTCCCTTTCGTTCAAGAGTAAGTATTAAGTCCGCGCTTGTCTTCTCTGTCTTTGCGCAGAAATGCAAGGCGTTGGACAATGTCCATTGCGTGGGGATATTCCGTGAAGGTTTACCCAAAGGTAAGCTCACTCATCTCCTTCTGTTTCAAGATGCTGCAATTTTCCTGGAATTTTTGTCTAGCTATAATTGTGACTGACCAAATGAAAGACTTATCCACTCCCACCCTTCCTACCTTTGTCAGGTTAATCAGCCAGGTTATTCATTACCAGTGCATGCATTTACCCACTTTTCAGCACAGTCACCTTGTGTCTATCCATTCCTCCTCCTAGTATTGCATTTGTTACTCTTGCGTGCATCCATTTATCATCCATTCAGCCATTTCATCCATCTATCCATCTATCCATCTATCCATCTATCCATCCATCCACCTACCCCTCAGTGCCCTCACCTACCTCTACATGCCTCCGTCCGTCGTTCCATCCTTCCGTTTGCCCATCCCTCTGTATGCCCATCTGTCCATATCTACCTGCCCACCTCCTGCCTGTTTGTTTTCCCACTTACCTGCGGACTTGCCTGCCCGCCCACCAATCTCTTCCGGTTCGTTCGTCCATCCATCCATAACCCATTCCTATGTCTATCTTTCCAGCCACCCATCCTTTTTCCATCCTCGCTCCTGTGTATGTCCAGTCTCCTATTGACTTATCTGTCTGCTGATCTGTTCATCCTGCGACTGTACTGTAACAGTGATACACCCATCTGTCTCCCTCCACCTCTCATCCATCCATACCTTATCTATATGTCCAGCCTTCTCTTTGTCCAGCAGTCTGCTCATTTGTGCATGCTGCAACCACAACGCAGTAGTGGTAGATTCAGGAGAGAGATGGGGAAGGGGGAGGAGAGGGCAGCTTCGATAATTACTGTCAAGTTTTGCCAATAATCATCATGAATAATGATAGCAGGAGCAAATGGTCATAACAATAATGTAACCAAAATAATTACAAGGATGGTATTATTGATAACGACCACAGTTACATTACCAATAACGATGAGGATATTGTGCATTACGATGATGCTAATAAACGATAATGAATACAATCTTCATATGAGGTATTATGGGCTTATGAAGGGACCTTGGTGTGCGGCGTCTGTGTCCGAATGCGGACAGGAATGAAAATGGTTGGGACATTGCCGAGAGTCCAAAAGAAGCTTTACTTTCTCTCTCACTCCTAATGGCAAGGGTTGCTCGTGACTGAGGGCATGCTCACATTAGTATTTTTCCTGCACTGCCTGCAATTGTTTCCAAATGCAGTTTGACATGTCCTACTATGAGTATGCCCTGAGGAAGCTCTGGTACTAGAAAATAATACCACACTATTCCTCTACACACAACACAGTTCTCAGATAAAAGTGCCTGGGGGCATGAATCATACGAGCACAAGGTTCCAAATTGCCATGTGCTTGGAGACACTTTCAAGAAGTGGTGGAGGGGGAGGAGGAGGAGACTAGAGGGACTTTCATGCTGGTCGTCCTTGTGGTAATCCTTTGCTCCTCCTCCTCCTCCTCCTCCTCCTCCTCCTCCTCCTTCCGCTTCCCATCCTGTTCCAGTCAGTTGCCGCTGCCTCTTCCTACACGTCACTGATGAAAACCTCAAACCATCAATCGTGTGCACTGCTCTCCTCCAAAGCAAAGCAGAGTGTATGACTGCACCACAACGGTGCACTGTGTCAATGATCAAAGTGATATCACACAATGACATGATAACAATGGAGGTGGGAGAGGGGGAAGATGAGGGGGAAAATGAGGACAACTAGGAAAAACATGCTCTCTTGCTTCCCCCCCCCCGCCCCCTCTCTAACATTTTCTCTTCTTCCTGCTCTGCTGTTCCTTCCACACTGTTGCTACAACGGCTGTTATTAATTCCAATACAATCACTGCTACTGCTATCAGCATACCATCACTCGGATGTACTACTGCTACCAGGGACAACACTGCTATCACTACCGCTACAACTTCCGCTTCACCATCATGATCACCATTACCATCATCATCACCATTACCATCGCCATCAGCATCACTATTCGTAATACTACCATGGTCACTAGTACCATCAGTACTACCACCACCAGTTCTGCTATTACAACCAATCCTACTGTCTTTCCCCAAGACAGTGCACCCTCATTGTAATTGTATCGCGCACCGGTAAGATACTGATAGTCTGTATACACCGATGAGCAGGGTGCATTGTGTTCAGGTGAAGACAATAGTACTATTTCCACGGCCCTGACGACTATCACTAGTACCATGATACCACAGCTAAAACTACTATACTGCAGCTGCTACTACTGACTGCTACCTGGACCACCCACGGCCACTGACCCCAACTACTACTGCTGCTATCACCAGGATCAGTACCATTACTCTCACTACCACCACTACTACGACTAGTACTATCCACTCCCACCTCTGCAACTACTGCTACAGCTGCTCCTTTCACTGCCACTGCCATTACTTTCCAATATGATTACCGCCGCCTCTCCCAGCAGCTCTGCTATCACTATCAGGCTGCCAGCACTGTCAATTCTAATAGTACTGCATGTATTACCCTTACTACTAGGCTGTATCGGCTACTACAATACTTGCCTTTTCTGTGCTCGTTTTCATCCATCTGTCTCTCAGTGCATCAGCCATTTCTTACAGAGGGTTGTCTTTTTGTTTCTCCCCAGATCCTGAGGATGAAGGAACTCCTACGAGCGGAGACAACATTTGTGGCATATCTGGGAGGGCAGGACAGCAGCCATTTTACGTTCGACGTCCGTCCAGCACGGGTACATCCATGAGCCAGCCAGAACAATTCAGATTTCCTGTTTCCGTCTCGACCTTTGTGACTTTTGCAACCCCCGCAGAGGTTACTTATCCCTGTATATGACTTCTTTCTTAAAGTTTTTTCCTTAAAGAAGAAAAAATACCTGCAGCCAGAGGACAAGTCGTCTCATTTCCAGGACTAGCATAGGAGGAGAGAATTGAGGAAACCTACTTGACCTCTCTCTCTCTCTCTCTCTCTCTCTCTCTCTCTCTCTCTCTCTCTCTCTCTCTCTCTCTCT